TCATGCTGAAGGACTGCTTCTGCCGGTGAAAGCAGTTAGTACCTTTGCGATTTATTTAATCGTCTTTTAAATGATTCCTGTAAAAAAGGGCTAAAAAATCATAACGAGACTGAGCTACTAGGCTGCCAAGCTGATATTCTTTGAATACCATGAAGCGCACCAGTAATTTGTTTTGATACAAAAGAGAAAGCGATATATTTTCTGATAATTGTTGCCTATAGGTGATAAAAATGTTGGCAATAATGGTTGCTATATTTATGGTTTGCTGGCTGCCTTATCAGCTATATCATGCGCTCCTGGAACGGCTAATCCAAAATTTCGAGCTTGCTTCTCATAGTTATATGATTTTCTATTGGCTTGCAATGAGTGCAGCATCGTATAATCCGTTTATATACTGCTATACAAATGCAAGGTATGTCATCGTTGCTTTTTAGCTGCTTTTCGCATTTACTGGCAAAAAGTTGCAAATGGCACTACACACATATTTGTGGCAGTAAATGCAAATAATTGGCCAACGCACGGGCTGCCCGTGCGAAGATGCGTTTTTTGCATATGTGAGTTTAAACCCAGGCTGGAAAGCACCGGGCGGGCCCGTACGATAATGCGTTTTTGCACCGGTGTTAAAGTACTTAGGTCATTAAATGCACGAATGGTTGCTGCTTTACACCTACCCTCTGCGATCACTAACATAAATCACCATATATTTTGCATAAAGGGAATGAACAGCTTCGTTTAACGGCCGTTCTTTAAAAGTAACCTAGCTGTTCAGTGAGAAATTTCTCTGCCAAAACTTTTAAGCGCCCGTATGTAAGAACCACGCATAACTTAAGGCTGAATTAGAAATACTTAATTTCTACTTGGACAGGGAACATTCCCCTAAAATCTAAGTTTTTCTGGTTCCCGAGACAGTAATTTTTTCGTAGAAACTTTTATACGCCTTTACGTGAGTACCACGCATACCTAGGGGCTGGACTTGAAATATTTGAGTTGTACTTAGATAGGGGACATTGCCCCAAAATTTCAGCTCTCCAGCTTTCCTGGTTCCCGAGTTAGCAATTTTCCCGTCAAAACTTTCACATGCCCGTACATGAGTACTCCACGTGCCTGGAAAGCTGAACTTGAAATTTTTAAATTGCACGTGGACAGGGAACATTCTCCTAAAATTTCAGCCTTCCAGCTTTCCTGGTTCCCGCGTTAGTATTTTTTCTGCAGAAGCTTTCATACGCCTTACATGATTACCAAGCATAACTGGGAGCTGAATTTGAAATCTTTAGCTATCACATGCACAGGGAATATCCCTACAAAGTTCCAGCCCTCTAGCTCCTGTGGTTCTCGGGATCGCTTTCCCGCCAAAAAATTTGCATATTTTATTAAAGAGTCCGTACGCCGCACCCAGGCGTCCGCGGAGGATGAAATTAAACGGAAGGGTCGTGCATGGTATGGGCACATACTCCCAAACTTTCAGCTTTCTAGCCTTTTTAGTTCTCGAGTTGAAAATGGGTGTCAAAAAGTGCGAACACACAGACACACAGACACACACACACAGCCTCTTCCCAATATGTGCTTTTATGCGCTTTTGCTGTGCAGCGCTATAGCGCTGCTACAGCCAGCAAAAAAGAATATTGTCGAGAGGCTGTGTGGGTGTGTGTGTGTGTTCGGAAAGCGAGTGCATTTTGCCACCCACTTTCAACTCGGCAACCAGGAAAGC